TGATTCAGCAACACTGGGTTTCCACTTTTTTAACTTCATTGACTTATTACATATGAAAGAACATAATAGATAAGTCTGAATAAAGGTTCGTGAATCTGAAATTTGGAAAAAAGATTATGTCCATCTGGGTTAGGCGCATATTTATATGCTTTTGAAATTTAACACACCTTGTAATAATTCGCCTTGTACAGGTTGACTAAGAACTCATTGTTCGTGTTGACACAAGTCTTTTTCTTCAGCTCCAATGCTGCGTCAAACAAAGCAGAGAATTTCGTAAAAAAATGATTTACTTTTTCTGGATATTCTATCTCAAAATCTTTTTCAATCTGAAAATTAAGGCGTTTGGTATTAGAAAGAAAATCACAATGGTAATAAAGTAATAATAATAATAATAACAAAAAGGGCTTACTAGGATATATCCAAAATTATACTTCAAAATAGGTCATTCGTTTAAAATACTGGACACCGTCTGAAAGGTTGAAGTGGCCAACTGAGTACGTCTGAAACTATTGGTTTCGATCCAATGCTTGAAAACGTCCTCAAATGGTTCGGAATTTTGTTCGAGCCAAATTTTGGAATTTAGAGCTACTTCAGATATTTGATCTAAAAAAACATGAATATATAACGTGTGATAGTTTTTACAGAATAATTCTAACCTTCTCCTGAAGTACTAAATTCGTCATCGCATCGTTTCGGCTCTGGATTCCATTTTTGGAAGTACTCCTGCTTCCCTTAAAATGGCCAATTCGTTCTACAATTCACAGACTACCAAGAAATAGATAAACGCCAGTAATATTTTAATTCTAGAAGGCATGCTTTTAATTGCCACAAGTAAACTTTAATTTCTAGAATTATATAATTAATTTTATTCTTCCAATAAAATTACAATTATTAATTTTTTTTTTCATTATTATGAAAAATGTAATTTAATTGGCGGAATAAAATTTTGGTAAAAATGTTTAATTTTTTGGGTTTTTTATAAACTTAGCATAGTTTTAGTTGAATCAACAATAATTTTATTGCTGTTACAATACATTTTTCAATTAAATATTTTAGTTGCATTAATTAAGTAGAAAAATTAATTAATTTTATAGCAAATATGCTTTTCTTATTCGAATTCATATTTTCTGTTTTGAATTAAATTATTTTTAAGAAAATGAAATAAACTGATTTAATACGCACGAATAATTTATTTCTCTCTGTGTATAGACATTTTTTTCGTATAAAATAGTAGGAAAAACTTTAAAACGTGGCAACCCTTATTTGCGGCAAATTTTTGACGTTCAAGAAACAGCGTGATGTTTGAATTTGACGTTCAAAACAAGTTTTTTGCTTGATCAAGAAAAATCGTTCAACCAAAATCGACTAGCGAATTGAAAACTTCTTGTACTGCCTTGATACACACCCTAGCCACGTCATTTTTTTAAACGTCGTGAGTCAGAAGAGAACCAATTTTTTGTTCGGCTCATATTATTAATTCAGCCTGCTTCTCGACTAGATCCTCCAATAATTACATGCTAGCCAACACTAGTAGGCCATTTCTTATTCCATAATATGGAAAGCAGGAGCTCGAGGCCTCCGTTGCAACGTTTCGTACTTGTTTCGTACAGACCCGCTTCAGGGTAGGACTGGACTGACCGGCCCACCGCGATCGCATCTTAAAATATTTTAATGTATACAGGGGCCACAGTAGCGCATTAGTAATAAGAGAAATAATTCACGCGGCTTTTAATTATATATCTATGTGAAAACATCATGATTAAGGCGAATGAAGAAGAAATAATAAAGAAGAAATATGAAGGAGTGGGTTTTATTTATGCGCAGTATGAAATATCGAGAGGATTCTGGTTTGTACGGGCCTGGAGATGCTTATCAGGCTTCATAAATTTTCGATTCTTTTGTCGATTCAGAAGGAGAGACTGTTTAGTATTCTACTAGTATTTAAATTTGTCAAATAAAGTACTGAATAAAAAAAATATATATTAACACTAGCGTGTACCAGCGAATTAATCATTTGTAATGGTGATGATAAAGCAAAGCAAGAATTTCCATTAACATACAAACTGGGTAAAATTTTCTCACATTTATGTCAGCATGAGAAAACTCGGTAAACTTGGTAATATTTGAGGGGTAGTTTCATCTCGTTGGAATTTGACTTTCGAAAAATCCGTTTGCACAAAAATAAGCTTTTTACGTCAAGCACTTTAAGCAGAATCGTGGTTAAGAAATTACCCAACTTTTTGGAATTCCCTGTATTACCCCTCCTTATCGAACCTCTACACCCCACAGTCAATCCGTTTGCCAAAAATCAGCTTTAAACGTCAAGCAGTTTAAGCAGAATCGTGATTACTCAATGGTCATATTTTATGAAACACCCTGTATAAATTTATAAAAATCTTAAAATATGTAAGGTAACAAAATAAAATATACGTGTTTAAGAGTTCTTCCCAAAAAACTCACCGGTTTTTAAATAAAAAATATTTTAATATTTGAGGGATAGTTTCACCCCCTTAGAATTCGAGTTTCGAAAAATCCCATTTTATCGAATCTCCACGCCCTAAAATCAATCCGTTTTCCAAAAATCAGCTTTTTGCGTCAAGCGCTTTAATCAGGATCGTGATTAATCAATGACCAGATTTTTCGAAACACCCTGTATACATTTTTAAAAAATCTTAAAATATGTAAGAAAACAAAATAAAATATACGTGTTTAAGCGTTTTTTCGGAAACTTGACCGTTTTTTAAATAAAAAATATTGTAATATTTGAAGGGTGGTTTCACCCTCTTGGAACTGGAATTGCGAAAAATCCCTTCTTATCGAACCTCTACACCCTAGAATCAACCTGTATGCCAAAATTGAGCTTCTTACGTTGAGTGGTTCGAGCAGGATCGTGATCAGTAAGTCAGTCACTTAAGGATTTTATATATTAGTATAGATAAGTGTTTTACAGCCTGATAGGGGGGTCTGAACAAACAATAGCTATTTATGTAACTAGTACCTAAAATGATGTTTTTTAGGACGAATCATTACTGTTTGCGGACGAGGCGTTAGCCGAGTCCGAAATAGTAGATGAGTCCTAAAAAACATAATTTAGGTACGTGTTACATACACTATTTTTTGTCATACGCTTTTTACAGTTTTTTAGAACGCATATTTGCAAATTTTCCATATTTGAAATTATAATGTTTTAAAAAAGTTGGCTATATAAATTCATATCTTAGTAACGAGTTTGTTTATTTCATCGCATTTTGACATGTCATTCGAAAGTCACAAAAATCACACAAATTCATCAACAATTTAGACATTTTAGTCCATAAAGGTTGCCATGACGACCTTTACGGCCTAGGCCGAAAAAGAAACATTTTACGGACTGAAATGAGTCCGTAAAATAGCTGTTTTTGGGAGCGTATGACAAAAAATATATTTTCTAGAACTTCCTGTTATTTCTTCTGTGTACTTCTTAGTGTCTTTTAGTTATTCATAGCCAGATTTTAGGTTTTTAGCTTGGCTTTACTTTTAAGAACACAAAAAAAACGATAAAACATTATTTTTTTTACAGAAAACCCAATTTTTCTCTTTTTTTTTCGTTTTACTTTATTTAAATAATTTATATAGGTCTCCAGCCAATAAAAAATGGACGACGTAATTGTTTAATTTGGCATCATTACGGTGGGACAGGACAAGAAAAAATTACCGATTAGTCCTAGGGTAGCGTGTCTTGAAAGAAATAGAAAAAATCTTTAATAATAAACTATGTGGTAAAATAACTGAGGTATTGTCGTTATTTATTGATGGGATGTTTGAGAAAAATATATATTTTTCTTGTGTTTTCTACTAAAGAAAATTGGAAAATTTCTGTAATTTTAAGATACAATATCATCGAAAAAAAACGGCGTCGACGATGGCTATGACATGAAGATCGGGTCATTTTACATGTAAAATTATACAGGGTGGCCCATCGAAAACGTTCTGCAAGGCATAACGGCCGGGGTAATTTTTTTTTCAGAAAATTCAAAAACACGTCAATTTTGTTTGTGAGTGGGACAACTTTTGCCCAAAAATGATTTCTTCAGTGCTGAATGTTTTCTTCAGTGCAAAACTCATCAAAATTTAATATAAATAATTTTTCCAGCCTCTAAATAAAATGAACAAATGTTTCCACTTTCATGATCAAAGGCTTTTAAATGGGTAAATAATTTCGAGTTATCCAGAGATTCGGATTCTTTTGCAAATTTTAGACAAATATGACATTGATGTATTTGAAGACCCTTTTTAATGATGTAGTCAAACATAATTAAAGGCATTTTGAGTTGAAAACATTTCTCAGAGGCTGTTTGATATAGTGAAAACTATAAAATTTGACCACCCATGTGAGAAATTTCCTCTTGTTTACATCATTAAATGATTTATTAGATTGAAAATATTTGATGTACTAAAGTTTACAAATAAAGATTTATATAGTCGAAAAAAGTCCGATAGAACCAATAGAAAGGTAACTATTTTGTCACATTTTTAATTAAATTTTGTTAAATAAATTAATTTTTTATACTATAAGGTGTTTTTTCCTTATAAATAAACACATTTGTATCCCATTTTAAATAAGATATACAAATTACCAAAACTTAGAAATAACAGTTCAAAAGTTCAACAAAATCCTACACGCGTTTCGCGTTTTTAAAAAGAAACATATAACCACGCACTATGTCATTCCAGCAAGCGAATACGACACAGCATAGGTTTCCGGACTAAACGACTGGTGTATTTACACCACTCAATAGGCGTGTCGGGTTTGCCGAGCGGTTTCCGATGCAGTCACTTTCTTTCGCATCTGTTATAGGTAATTTGTGCCACCGTAGTTATATACACCATTTTTTTGACACCCTGTATACCCTTTATATTTATCGCTAATGCAACAGTTAGGTTGTTCTTTTTATATACCCGAGTGTGTTAAAAATAGTACTTTACACTCTCTTGCAAGTTGAACTGACTGAAAGCATTTTGTTTTAAATATAAATCAGTCAGTCACTAGTCGCACCGCAGTAATGGTACTTACGCTTTTTTAAAAATAAGATTTTTAAGCCTATTTGAAACGTTGATCAAGCATACTTGTAATTAAGTGCGATGTGTGCATAATTAATCGAAGCAGTACCTACTATCGTCTCGCTTGTATAGGTACCACCTCAATTATACGCTCTGATTGTTGCAGTTTTGTGCGCGTACTTTTACGGTTAATAAGAGAAAAAAATAGGTATTGGAATAAATTACAGGGTGAATATGAATATTAATTTTGAGAATAAAAGGATTTTAGTCACTGGAGCTGCATCAGGTAAAAGTATTTTCTTGAAAAAAAAAACACTAATAAGTACAACAAAAAGAAGTATCTACTTCATATGCTTTAGTTCTAGCTCGTATAATTACTTCATATATACAGGGTGGCGCCTCTCAAACACCGCGGAGGCTCCAAAGAGAACGACAGTTTGTATTGAAATGAAATTTTGTGAGCATATGTAGGTTAATTCAGAGCACTTTTTAAAAATATAGATAGTTCGTTGGTGTCCCCAAAAAAAGTTACATATCAAAGTTGGGTTTTTTGTAATGGAACACCCTATATATTAATTGATTTTCGGATTCTGGGAGAAAAATAAAGGTGAGTTTTATAAGAAAAGTATATGACTAAAATGTAAGGTTTTTGAAATATTTAACATTTTCTAGAAATAAAGAACAATTTTTAAATTCCAATTAAAGCTACCTAAACTGGAATTTACACGGTATCGCCTAATATGTAGTTAAACCAACTATTGTACTTTAAATCAAATTAAAACTTGGTGCAAAAAGTTATACAGGATGAGACAAAATTAATATTGAACATTCGACACCTTTAAAAGCATGTTACTCTTTTATTTTAAATGGAACACCCAGTATATTATTCCGATATTCAATGGAGAATTTATGAGAGACATTATTGTAGCTGCTTTTCGAGGCAGAACTCCACATATGCCTTTTAAAATGACAATCATTTTTTGCAGTTAACAGGAAACAAAGCATTTTGAGCCTTTGATTTCATCTAGCTAATTTTTGTCACAAAATTATAATTTTATATCAAGTTTTAATTCTGTAATAATTAAAATATGTTTTAAACGTGTATCTTTTTATTACAGTTGAGTATTTTACGCTACAATCTTTAATTTTTGTTAAATTAACAAAAGATATATCACACAGCCACCTAGATTTTTTCAAATAATAAAGATCTACTCAAGCAAAATCATAAAAATTAAAATATCTAGGAAAATCTTTATCTGAGGGGTAGGCAACCTTAATAATATTTTGAAGATATATAAATTCCCCATTGAACACCGGAATAATATACTGGGTGTTCCATTTAAAATAAAGGAATAACTTGCTTTTAAAAATGACTAATGTTTAATATTAATTTTGTCTCACCCTGTATAACTTTTAATAAATAATGGTTACTGTAATTAAATATCAGCCTATACAAGGTCATTAAAATTTAGGTAGCTGTTATCGAAATTTAAAATTTTCTCTTCATTTTCACAAAATGTGAAATATGTCAAAATCCTTAGAAAAAAAACAACTTTGATGTGTAACTGTTTTGACGACACCCTGTATAATTCTATATACATATTTTATAAAATGCTTTCAGTTAACTTACATATACTGCCAAAATTTAATTTCGATATAAACAAAAGTTCTCCTTAGAGCTTCCGCGGCGTATGAAAGGTGCCACCCTGTACAGGGTGTCTCATTTCTAACAGGGACAACTTAATAAAATAAACAATTAGAAAGTGTAAAGTACATTTTAATATTGTCCAACGCAATTATTTATTTAGGAATAGGAAAAGGCATAGCAACTCGTCTTGTTCAATGTGGAGGCACAGTCATTGCGGTAGACAGATCAGAGGAAAATTTAGGTACAAATAAAATGTTTTATTGTATAAAATAAGAACAAGTATTGTTTTTGATATATAGACAAACTCAAAGGAGAATTTCCAACGGTAATACCAGTGGCTGTTGATTTGGGTTCCTGGAATGAGGCTCAAGAAAAAATAAAAGTTGTTCTACCGGTGGATCTTTTAGTAAATTGTGCTGGGTTGGATATAATCCAGTCTGTTGGCGATATCACCGAAGACGCTTTTGATAAGTATACGAAAATTTATGATTAAATTATATATTTTTTAATAAAAATTATGGTATTTAATTTTTCAGAATTTTTAACGTTAATATTAAAGGACTTGTAGCTGTTACACAAATCGTTGTAAACGACTTAATACAGAGAAATACTCCAGGATCAATAGTAAATATATCCTCACAAGCTTCCCTGAGTGGTTTACTCTACCAAAGTCTTTACTGTGCCTCAAAAGGGGCCGTAGATGCGTTTACAAGAGCCCTAGCCATGGAAGTAGGCCCTAAAAAGATCAGAGTGAACTGTGTGAATCCCACAATTGTCATGACTGAGTTGGCTATCAAGGCTTGGAGTGATCCTGTCAGAAAACAGGCAGTTTTAGACAGGATTCCTTTGCAGAGGTAAAAACAAGCATAATTTTGACACCCTGTATACAAGTTTTAAGCAGTGAAAATCATAAAATGTTATAGATATATACGAAATGTTACTTATACATTATATTTTCTTATTTTCTATTAAAATACAACATTGGGTCACCCTATATATAGTAAAAATCTATTTTCTTGATTTAGATTTGCTGAAATTGACGAAGTAGTTGATGTAGTCCTTTTCCTACTAAGTGATAGATCAAGCATGGTCACGGGACATTGTCTGGCAGTGGACGGTGGATTTTTAGCTGCTTAATTTATTATTGTTTCTTTATTTCTTTAAATAAAACTGTTTTACTGTATTGAAATTTATTATTTGACCCCTTATTAGTCAGGCAACCAGTAAAACCGTATGTTGATGGTGGTGCCATCTATGAATCAGGTGCGATACTACATCGGATGTTTTTTTATAGATTTCTGTAATATGTATGGTAATGCCATCTATTGAAAACTTCCTGTACTACAATTAATTTTTTTAAAGGTTCCTATTTTTTATACAGAAATCTGTAATAACTATTAGAGGAATCTGTAATTTATAATTTTAAATTTTTGAAATATAACACAACCTTAAATTTTCCAATCAAAAATTCAAATAAAAATACTGTTTTTGCTTGTAAAATATTTTAAAAATGTTTCCTACAAGTACACAGTGCAAATTCTGGATGTTCGGCAGTGAGGAAGAACTAAACAAGCTTAGAGAGAGCGCAAACACCAAACATATACAACGATATGGAAGGAATGTCGGTGTAGGTTTTCAAAATATTCAATAATAACAGATTTTATATCGTTTCTTTTTAGGAATCCTCTAAATACGACTTTTTTCTCACACCGGAGGAAGAAAAAATCATGGTAAAACGCTTCGAATTGCATTTGAGAGACTTCTGTAAGAGATTTCAACCTCCAATGCCACGATGCGTAATTGGAACAGCTTTTCATTACTTCAAAAGGTTTTACATCCGTAATTCTGTGATGAATTATCACCCAAAAGAAATTATGTATAGAATTTAATGGTAAATTATATTTTCTTTGCTCTAAACAAGGGTTTTAGGGTGACATGCATATACCTGGCTTGTAAAGTCGAAGAATTCAATGTCTCCATCCAGCAGTTTGTTGCAAACATTAAAGGAGATAGAGAAAAAGCTACAGACATTATTCTAAACAACGAATTACTTTTAATGGAACAACTAGACTTCCATCTAGCTATTCACAACCCATACAGACCGGTAGAAGGGTTATTAATTGACATTAAGGTATAAATTTAATTTAAATCTCTTCAAAACAACTCAAAACATATTTTTAATCAGACTAGAGGCTCACTACATGATCCAGAAAGACTCAGACCTGGAACAGAACAGTTTTTGGATAGGGCTCTTTTAACAGATGCTATAATGCTGTATTCACCTAGTCAAGTCGCGTTAGCTGCAGTGCTTCATGCCGCTTCGAAGCTTCAAGAAAACCTTGATTCATATGTTACAGATATTCTTTTTGGAGAAGGTGGTAGAGATAAGTTAGAAATTTTGATTGATGCTGTTAGAGGTAAGGGAATTCCTATTTTTTGCCTAGTTTTATTATTTTTTTTTTGCTTTTTTTATAGCTATAAGGTCAATGGAAAAAATGGCTGATTCTCCACCAGATAAAAACCTTATAAAAGTCTTAGATAAAAAGTTAGAAAAGTGTAGAAATCCTGAGAATAATCCTGATAGTGAGATGTATGATTTTTTTCTGTATTATTTAGATATGTTTATGTTGTTTTTTTGAATTTTTTAGATATAAGAAGAAAATGCAAGCAATGTTAGATGAAGATGATGATTTGTATAATGCAATATCTCAGCAAAATCAAATAAGAGATTCTTCAGCTTTGAATATGAGTCTCCCAGCTTCACCAGAAGTAGCTTAAATTTATTTATTTGTAAAATTTTATGGTTATATATGGTTATATATGGTGGTATAGTTTTACTTTTTTTATAATTTCAATAACAAATTAATAAATTTTGATATTTATTCTTGTATTTTTTACTTAATATTGTTTTGTTCTATTAAAATTAGGCAACCAGTTAAACACAGTATATTTTTTTTAATTTAATATACAGGATGTTCTTTAATGACATGCAATATTTGAGTGAGTTATTATTGGACCTGTTCTAAGAGAAAACCTTCATATGAATGTCCTAAACCTCTTAATTTTTGTGATACAGGGTGGTAAATATTACACTCAAGTTTTCTTTCTTAGAATAGGTCTAAGAATCGCCCCCTTGTACATATAACACCCTGTATATAGGTCTAAAATGAAACAAAAATGCCAAGAAAATTAAGTGAGTACGTCTCTAACAATAAAATCACTTTTAGTATATTTTTTTCAGTTGAAATTTAACTAAAAAGTTTTTAGTTATAATAATCTTCAAAATGCAGATTATAATAAATAAAACAAAACTATTTTCGAGAACTATATTCAGTTTTATTCCAATCACATAATAAAATAATTTATCATACAGTACAGCAGTAAAAAAATCCAAAAAATATTAAGTACTTAGGTATATACAAAAGTTAATTAGAGTAAATCATACAAATTTTTAAGGGTTATCAAAATGCCTTCTGAAATTTTGTAATTGTACCATAGGAGAGTATTCTGGTGACTGTTCACTCTGATGGTGATGGTGGTACTTGATGTAATCATCAACGTGGTGTGCCTGTGAGCCCAGCCTTATGTGAGTTGGTAGTGGATTCGTGGGAGGAAGTGGTACATTGCTGGGAAGTACCGGAGGTACACTGGAGAGTCCCGGTTGGCCGGGATAGTTGAAAAACCTAAATAAACAAATAAAAAATAAATATAATGTTCTAAAACTATTCCCAGAACTCAATATACCATAATCTATCTCCTAAATATATTGGTCTGGGTGTGAGAATTCCTATTGAAGAGTAGTACTGTTGTGCTAGCAATTCTATGTCGTTAGTATACTTTCTTTTCCATTTGGTTCGTCTGTTTTGAAACCATATTTTTATCTAAGACAGAATTGTAATAAATATTATTGATACTAATATTATAATTTAAAGATTCTTTGTTTTTTTTTTAGTATATTTACCTGTGTTTCTGTTAGTTTCAAAGCTTTGGACAGCTGTAATCTCTTGGCTACTGATAAGTACTTGTTTTTCTCGAATTCTGCTTCTAGAGATTTGATTTGTGAAGCTGTGAACGCCGTTCTAGGTCTCTTTTTTCGTTCATCATCAGATTTGGCATCTGAATAAGAGAAATCTAGAAAAAAAAAACATATATCAATTAAAAAAAGACTAGGGCTGTGCACAGGGCGGGCCTAGGGCACTTGTTTTTTTTTTAAAAGAAGAATAATATTAAAAAAGAAACACATTTTTATAATAAAACGTTTAAATGAATTTCTCTTGGTTGCCAAACCGTGTTCCAGTAGATTACTTAAATACCTACAAATTTTCTAAAAAACTAAATAGAATATTGTTTTATTAGGAGTAAAAATAACACTTTTTTGACGAAGCTGTACGTTTGACATACAGGCGAGGCACAAAAAAGTCATTTTTACTCCGAATAGAATATGCTATTTTTTTCAAACGCCACGAATAATTTTTTAAACAATTCAAACGTTCCAAATAATACAAAAAGATTTAAAAGTAATACCTTATAAGTAATTTTAATATTTAGCTATGAGTCATAATTCAAGATTTCTCTGGGAGGTGCCCAGTAGTACTGGGCACGGCCCCCCCAGGCCCCCCTGCAGCTACGCCAATGTCCACAAGGTTACAAAAAATAAAAAAAAACCTTAGAATCATTGTCTTTAATCCCCATTATTCTGAGAGTTTTAACACTTCTTTTTCGTCAGAGCAATTATCGCAAAATTAGCCTCTTCTCATCTCCACGTGCGACAAATTACGAATAAATAACTCAGTTAAAACGGTGTCCCAAAATTAAACCGGCACCACTCTCTGCTATATAGAAAGACGAACAGGCTTTAACGCTAGATGACACCTTTGGCCAATTACGAGACACGTAAATAGTTTAACTGCCGCTATAAATTCGAACGCATCGTTTGCCGCCGCGGAAAGCGATTTATTTCCACAATCATTAGCGTCACAGAGCTGAGGACAGGAGGGGAGAGAGGTAGGAGCGTCGTCGGCATCGCGCTCTGATGTCCGTCGCGACGCTAGGTGACCCCAAAGTTCAAAAGTTAAAAGAGAATCCATTAAAAAGTTCTATCGAACTTTTGTTGGCTTTATTTTTGTTATTTAAAAGTAACTATAACGTTTCGGATAGTTATATCAGTCTCCGTTATCAATTAGGCACTAAAACTAAGCGTCCGAAAAGCTGTAACAAGAATATAGGGGCTGTAGTTATTACTGTAAAAAAATCATTCGCCTGGGAGCTATACAATACGATGGAACAACCGATACTCTCTCAAAATTATTAACATTTTAGCTCAAACTAAAACATATTCTGATAGAACATAAAATTCTGCATACGATAAGTATAATTTTGATTGATTCAGAATTATATTAATATTTTTTTCAGCGGTTCAAATATTGGACCTGTTTTTTTAAGTTTTTAGACAAAATAAGCGGAACTATCGCTGTCTCTCCGGGGCTCTCCCTCAACAATATTAATTTTTTAGCTCAAACTAAGACCATATTTTGATAGACTATAAAATTCTGCATACGACAAGTATAGTTTCGATTCTTTTAGAATTGTATTAATATTTTTTTCAACGGTATAAATGCTGGGCTTGTTTTTCCACTTTTAAGACAAAATAAGCGGAACTATCGTTGTCTCTCCCGGGCTCTCCCTCAATATTATTAACTTTTCAGCTAAAACTAAGACATATTCTGATAGAATATGAAATTCTACATACGACAAGTATTGTTTCGATTCCTTTTGAATCGTATTAATATTTTTTTTAACGGTACAAATGCTGGTCTTGTTTTTTGAACTTTAAGACAAAATAAGCGGAAGTACTGCTGTCTCTCCCGGGCTCTCCCTCAATACTATTAACTTTTCAGCTAAAACTAAGACATATTCTGATAGAATATAAAATTCTGCATACGACAAGAATAGTTTCGATTCTTTTAGAATTGTATTAATATTTTTTTCAACGGTATAAATGCTGGGCTTGTTTTTCCACTTTTAAGACAAAATAAGCGGAACAATCGCTGTCTCTCCCGGGCTCTCCCTCAATACTATTAACTTTTCAGCTAAAACTAAGACATATTCTGATAGAATATGAGATTCTGCATACGACAAGTATAGTTTCGATTCCTTTTGAATCGTATTAATATTTTTTTTAACGGTACAAATACTGAGCTTGTTTTTTGAACTTTAAGACAAAATAAGCGGAACTACTGCTGTCTCTCCCGGACTCTCCCTCAACACTATTAACTTTTCAGCTAAAACTAAGACATATTCTGATAGAATATAAAATTCTGCATACGACAAGTATAGTTTCGATTCCTTTTGAATCGTATTAATATTTTTTTTAACGGTACAAATACTGGGCTTGTTTTTTGAACTTTAAGACAAAATAAGCGGAACTACTGCTGTCTCTCCCGGGCTCTCCCTCAACACTATTAACGTTTCAGCTCAAACTAAGACATATCCTGATAGAATATAAAATTTTACATACGACAAGAATAATTTGAGTTCTTTCAGGTGATTAATAGTTAGTTTTTAAACGGTAAAACAAAAACTCTTACTGTCATGCTTGATCTCTTGACTTACTTTTAATTTAAACAAGGATAGAATGCATAAAACTGAAAACCTAGACATCAAACATACTCTAAGTAGTTTTAAATTATGTACAGTAAGATTTTGATAGTGTAGATATATCAATTTTGAAAATGATAATGCAACATTTTGATCAAACATAAACAGTCGCATGTGCGATGCCTTTAAACTAATACACCGTCCAAAATTAGGAGTCCCAGAGCTCCGCCTCTTGGTCATTAGTTAATCGTCAACAGATCTGGAGACGCCTTCGAAAAATTATCGCGCTCATAACCATTTTTCAGAGCGCTAATTGGCGTCGGCCGGATACGCCAAATTAGACACCAAACGACTCTGTATCCAGAGACGATCCAGAGAATGCGTTTGAGTCTCCCCTAAAAGCCTGTTCTTGATTTGTCACTCTCGGCAATTTAGGAGACGTTTATATTTACGTCTCGGTTTGGAAAATAAATCAACAGAAGAAAAACATCTCGTTTATAATTTTGTATAGAATAAAGATGGATAAATTTATCGATAAATCTAAATATCGATGTAGTTTAGAACTACTCAAAGCATGCTGTTAATTGGGTCTTCTGTCTTCTGCACTCTATCTTCTCTTAAATTCAAAGAACCTAGGTCGATAAATCTGCAATCGCCAGACAGTAAGAGTTTCTATTTTTACTTTAATTAACCATCTGAAAGAACTCAAACTATACTTGTCGTATGTAAAATTTTATATTCTATTAGAATATGTCTCATTTTGACTTAAAATGTTAATAGTTTTGAGGGAGAGCCCGGGAGAGACAGCGATAGTTTCGCTTATTTTGTCTTAAAGCTGAAAAAACGGGACTAGTATTTTGTACCGCTGTAAAAAATATTAATACAGTTCTAAAGGAATCGAAACTATACTTGTCGTGTGAAGAATTTTATATTCTATCAGAATATGTCTTAGTTTGAGCTGAAAAGTTAATATTTTTGAGGGAGAACCCGGGAGAGACAGCGATAGTTCCGCTTATCTTGTCTTAAAGTTGAAAAAAGAGTGCCAGTTTTTATACCGTTGAAAAATATATTAATAAAATTCTAAAGGAATCGAAACTATACTTGTCGTGTGTAGAATTTCATATTTTATCGGAATATGACTTAGTTTGAGCTAAATAGTTAATAGTGTTGAGGGAGAGCCCGGGAGAGACAACGATAGTTCCGCTTATTTTATCTTAAAGCTGAAAAGACAGGACCAGTGTATGTACCGTTGAAAAAAATATTAATAAAATTCTAAAGGAATCGAAACTATACTTGTCGTGTGCAGAATTTTATATTCTATCAGAATATGTCTTAGTTTGAGCTGAAAAGTTAATATTTTTGAGGGAGAGCCCGGTAGAGACTGCGATAGTTATGCTTATTTTGTTTTAAAGCTGAAAAAAGTGTAGTAGACTATTAATAGTGTTGAAAACAATAATATTAATAAAACTTTCAAGAGATCCAAACTATACTTGTCGTATGTAGAATTTTATAGTATATTAGAATGTGTCTAAGCCTGAGCTAAAATGTTGATAGTTTTGAGGAAGAGCCCGGGAGAGACAGCTATAGTTCTGTTTATTTTGTCTTAAAGTTAAAAAAAACTGTTTCTCAATAGATTTTTTCTTTTTCCTTTTGATTTTGCATATTTTTACTTGCAATTCCAAAAGTATCATTTATACCAATCCTGCTATAGGTGTCCCCTTCAACATTTCCTCCTCCTTCTCCTCAGAAAAAACATTCCCCTCTGGCCATACATCAACGCCTAATTGACAGGACTTACAGGAAACGTATAGCCTCAGACAAAGTGACACTAAACGCCGTCTAATTACCGCTAGACGTTCCCCTTTCCCCTCATACCTGTTGTGGCCCCCCTTTACCCCGACTCCCCTGTTCTAAAGGGTTATTTAAAACCCACACCGAATTGTTTTGGGATATCTGTCGTCGCCTCTAGCAAAACACCTTCACAGAGTTAATTTGTTATTTGTTCGTGGCCTAATGGTAATCGGTTATTATAATTAGATATCAATTAAGAGACTAATTGTGTAATATAGTATAATATATACTTTAAAATACTTGGTTTCTTTAATTTCTGTGTACAGGGTGTCCCATTTTAGTTGAAATCATACGGTATCTCCGTTATTCGTGAAGATAGAAGGGTGCGGTTTTTGTCAAACGGAAGATGCCGTAATCTCTTGCCTTGTATCTCTGTTATTGTTAAAGGTACAAGTATTGAGACGGTGAAAACTGTTTATTGTAGGACTTTTTACGTAGAATACAGTGGCGTAGTTTGTTATTCAACGAAAAGAATATTTTTAAAGATATGAACTAAAGTTATGTTTTCTTAAATGGAACGCACTGTATATTTATAAATTATATTATCTGGTTTGCCATAGGCTTCTCAAAAATATATAACACTCTATATTTATTTTTATTTTTTAATGCAATATTTAAAAAAATATATTAAAAGAATATATTAATTAGTAGGCTTATTATTATATTAAAAGTATACTGCTATCTGTCCCTTGTTTTATTTTGAGAGCCACTAATTAATTCTTTGTATATTAGGGAAACTTAAATCTTTACCGCTATTTGTAAAAATTTAAAAAAATCGTAACTCCAAAATTACAGTAGCTAACGAAACGCGGTTTTCAATTTAAGATTAGAATAATATTTGCAAGAAAATCTGTAATAACATCAAAATCAGTCAAAGTCGAAGTTTTTGAGATAAAAAAAACTTGGAAAAATTTCTTTACTTTGAAACTAAAAAACTGCCTACCAACTTTTTATTAACATATTTTAGTATGGGCGGCTATACGTGCCTATCGGCGCCAATTTTTTTATTTTCTATCACGGCCTATAATAATAAGAAAATGATATTTTTTTAAATATTGCGGTAAATAGTAAAAATAAATATAAAATATTATAGTTTTTAGAGAAAATGTGGGACAGGTTTCCGCATCCTCCTATCTTTACTAATAACGAAGATACCGTATGATTTCAACCAAAATGGGACACCCTGTACAATTATAAGAAAACTGAGATACGAAGGGCGTCGAAAAATGTAAAATTTTCAATTGCCTTCTATTTCAGGGACTAAAAAGGCTAGGACAAATCTGTGTATAGAATCATTAGTTTCATTTTTTTTTTGTTTACCAAAATAAGCATTTTGGTGCATGGAAGACGCGTATATTAAAATATAACATCAGAGGTATTTAAAAAAAATAGAAAATTTTACCACCCTGTATCCAAAAGGTTAAGATGTTTAGGACATATAACATATAGAGATATAGACATATAATATATATGAAGTTTTTTTCTTAGAATAGCTTCATAGACTCGCCTCATTAAAGATTAACATGTCATTTAGAAACACCCTGTGTATTTTAAAGTAATAAATAAATCTGTGGAGGCGCTTTCTCTAATATAAGATTAAAACTTTTCCCAAATCAACCATACCTGTTTCAACCATATTCCTTTGAAAATATCCTTCAGTCGTTGACACAACCTCCTCTTCAGTTCTTCCAAAATCACCACTATTCTCCACCAATAAGTCTCTCCCCTCATTATCCACATCCCCATCTTCCCCAACATCCCCTATTTTCTCATTTTTATCACCCCCCACACCTAGCAACGACTCGATAAGGAAATTTTTCGATTTTTCCGAGCACTTTTTCACCTGATCGATCGAACACTCGCGATTTTTCTCCAAATTTTCACTGCTGTCCGCCATTTTTTTTTTCTCTCTCCCCGATGTATACCACTTAGTCAACACGCTAAAGACATGTTTATATAAACAAGTGAGTCGCTACTTAAGCAGGGCCAACTCAGTTTAAAGATTCTGGCCAATAGGGAGCCAGGAGGTGTGGTTAAAGTAATAGATCTTGTGGGAGATACAGAGATACTAATTAAGATTAATAGGTTTCAGATTTGTCGTTTGGTGTATAGTGTCTGATGTGTGGCTATAGATATTTTTTTATAGTTCTAATTAGCTGAGATAGTATATGTGTCGTAATTTAAGCATGAATGATTCAAATTTTTTTTTCGATAGGTATTTTTTGTTAGTGCTAAGTGTTAATACATCGCATTCAAAAATTACATAAAATTATATACAGTGCGTCGGGCATCTGTAGCTCCTAGAATAAAAAACTTGCGACAGGGTGGCTCAAAAAAGTGCGAGTGGATCGGGATGATTTATTTTAAATGGAACCCCCTGTATATTATTGTATTTTTGGTTTTCTTTCAGATCACTTTACGTAATCCTAGGATATGAGTAAATATATATTTCGATAGTTTTAGAGATAATAATAATAAAAATATATTTTTCAGCCCTTTTAAAAAAAAATATTAAAAATACAAGAACTGTCCTGAAATCAAAACTATATTAGGTATTTACTTCAGTTGGTCTATACTTGCTTTGCTATAAATATTGTAATCATAAATCATACAGGGTGTTCGGAATTCTACGCCAAATTTTCTGAAACATAAAATACTTTTTCTGAATATTTTTTGTATTTCGAGTATTTCAAAATGTTTAACGGTTTCGCAGATACTCGTGGTATTTTTTCATAATATGGCTCTTTCAACTGTAAAATATCAGAGAAAAATCATTGGGTGGCTTTGATAAAAATTTACTGTGAAATAAAATGCCATATGAAATATAAAACCGCAAATATCTGCGAAACCGTTAAAAATTTTGAAATACTCTCAATACAAGAAATGTTTATTTTTTAATTCTCCATCTAGTAAAAAAATAATATACTAGGTGTTCCGTTTAAAAAAAACCGAAGAAAAATAAAAAAAGAAGAAAAAAGTTTGGCGTAGAATTTTGAACATCCCGTATGATTTTAGATTACGATATTTATACCAAAGTAGGTACAGACCATCTAGAAGGAAATACCTAATACAGTTTTGATTTCAGGGCATCAGTTCTTGTATTTTTAATATTTTTTTTAAGAAGGAATAAAAAATTTATATTTTTTATTTATTTATAAATATCTCTAAAACTATCGAAATATATTTACTCATATCCTATTACGTATTACGGATTACGTAAGGTGATCTGAAAGGAAACCAAAAATACAATAAAATACAGGGTGTTCAATTTAAAATAAATCTTCCCGATCCACTCACACTCTTTTGAGCCACCCTGTAGATATTAAAATATTTTCCTGAATTACATCCTCGTACGTACTTTAGATTTGCACTAAAACAAAATTCCCAAGATTTGTATTCTATATAGAAGCTACAGATGCCCGACATAGTGCCGTACCCTGTATAGAAAAAAATCATAAAATCTTTGGTTTGGAATTGTACATATACAATACAAATGTTACATAAAACTATGTAATTCTAACCCAAGTTTTGCAACGCACTTCCTACGCTACAAAACGTTGTGAGATCACATTATTATGCAAAGAATATACCAAAATCTCATGTAAAACCAAGTCAGTAAAAATAATTATTGCACGTCTTTTATACTGGTATACTACCCAGCCAATTTATCCGTTGCATATACAATTGTACCATAAGCTAAAGTCTGTCCTATGAAACAGGGAAGATTTCGACAGATGTCATTCCAAAAATGACAGAAAATAAAAAAAAATGTGAATTAAAATGACAGAAGAACTGTCACTGTCATGGATCATAAAAAAATCGTATAAACAATTTTTCTTTAGTAGGTACTAAAGTACGTTTTTTACTTAAATAACTGTTGACAGACCATTAATTCTGCAAGTAATTATGATGCCTCTTAAAGTGATCTCTTAATTATGAAGTGTCAACTTTCGAAAGGATACGCTAAATTACCCGTCGCCGCACATGTGCGCGCGGGAAGAAACACATAGTGGCGCCAATTAAGAGAGGAAAAAGGAGTCGTACCGGGTGGAATTCTGGTCGTACCGGCCCATTTGGTTAGTTTTACAAGCGACAATTTGGATCAAATTATCGGCACACCTTCTACTAAATAAGGGCTATTTATAAAATGACCTTAAAGGGTCTTCCGGCAATTGCTGACTGAACTATAAGAGTTTACAAAATAAAATATTAAAAAAATGCATAAAACTTCCTGTAATATTCAGTTATTTCAAACAGTTGTTCAACAGTAAATAAGAAAACTCGTACTGTCGTATCATCCAGTTTAGACAAAATCACCGGAAATAGGGCTGTCTCTCCCGGGTACCACCTTAAAACTAATAATATTTGAGATCAAAGCAAGACATATTCTAAAAGAATATAAAATTTTACATACGACAAGTATGTAAAAGATAAAAGATGTATAGTTTCAGATTTTTTAGACCATTGCAAGTATTCTTTTAAGCAATGAATGTAAGGAACTCGTACCGTCTAGCCAAATGTATGTAAAGATTTTTGTAAATGCGAACTGAACTTAGAGTTGAGAATATTTTCTCGTTAGTGCTATACATATTCAAAAAGTACATAAAATTTTATATTATATTCTCTGTAAAATTTAGTTGATTCGTACAGTTATGAATATATTTTAACAGTAAATAGGAAAACTCGTACTGTATCAACTTTAGACAAGGTCCCTGGAAATAGGGCTGTCTCTCCTGGGTACTACCTTAAAACAAATAACATTTGAGATCAAAGCAAGACATATTCTAAAAGAATATAAAATTCTACATACGACAAGTATAGTTTGGGATGTTTTAAATAATTGCAAGTATTCTTTTAAGCGATGAATATAAGGAAATCGTACAGTCTAGCCACATTTATGCGAAGATTTTTGTAAATGCCGACTGAACTTAGAGTTGAGAATATTTTTTCTTAATGCTACACATATTCAAAAAGTACATAAAATTTTATATATTTTCTGTAAAATTTAGTTGACTCATACAGTTATAAATATATTAGAACAGTAAATAGGAAAGCTCGCACTGTATCATCAATTTTAGACAAGATCCCTGGAAATAGGGCTGTCTCTCCTGGGTACTACCTTAAAACAAATAACATTTGAGATCAAAGCAAGACATATTCTAAAAGAATATAAAATTCTACATACGACAAGTATAGTTTGGGATGTTTTAAATAATTGCAAGTATTCTTTTAAGCGATGAATATAAGGAAATCGTACCGTCTAGCCACATTTATGCGAAGATTTTTGTAAATGCGGACTGAACTTAGAGTTGAGAATATTTTTTCTTAGTGCTACACATATTCAAAAAGTACATAAAATTTTATATATCTTCTGTAAAATTTAGTTGATTCATACAGTTATAAATATATTAGAACAGTAAATAGGAAAGCTCGCACTGTATCATCGATTTTAGACAAGATCCCTGGAAATAGGGCTGTCTCTCCTGGGTACTACCTTAAAACAGATAACATTTGAGATCAAAGCAAGACATATACTAAAAGAATATAAAATTTTACATACGACAAGAATAGTTTCAGATGTTTTAAATCATTGCAAGTATTCTTTTAAGCGATGAATATAAGGAAATCGTACCGTCTAGCCAAATTTATGCAAAGATTTTTGTAAATGCGGACTGAACTTAGAGTTGAGAATATTTTCTCTTAGTGCTACACATATTCAAAAAGTACATAAAATTTTATATATTTTCTGTATAATTTAGTTGATTCGTACAGTTATAAATAAATTTTAACAGTAAATAGGAAAGCTCGTACTGTATCATCAATTTTACACAATATCCCTGGAGATAGGGCTGTCTCTCCCGGACACTACCTTAAAACTAATGACATTTGAGATCAAAACAAGACATATCCTAAAAGAATATAAGATTTTACATACGACAAGTATAGTTTCGCATATTTTAAACAATTACAAATATTTTTTAAGAGCTAAATATAAGGAATTGGTAAACTCTTTCCAAATTTATGAGAAGGTTTTTGTGTATTCAGCACAGAAACAGCCCGTTGTAGATGGCGCCAAGTTATATCGCTTATTTGCCACTGAGGAATGCAAAATATTCGAAAAGTTCTGGTCATTAAAGGATCCTGTTTCAAAAATTAACTAAATGACGGCTTCTTTTAAAGATTCCAAAGCATAATAATTTAAAATTTTGATGATGACAACCACGCCTATATTTTTAATTATTTTAATGCACGTCCTTTTGTCCTAAATTTCACCATTGGCTTAACTACAGGGATGCCAAGGGTTGCCGGCCCCCAGAGAAATCTTGAATTTTGACTGAAGGATGACTCTTGGCTTAGTATTAATTTTTATTTGCTTGTGATGCTAAAAATGACTTTCCATTTTTGTTTAATTATTATTATTTTGGTTTGTTCAAAAAATGTGTGTAAGTTTTTATTTTTTTACAAATTATTCTTCATTTTTTAAAAAACAAAATCCCCCCGAAATTGAACAAAAAAGACGTCAAATGATTGTATGGTATTTCTAATACTTTTTTAATTTTTTTGAGCAAACAACACAGAAATATCTACATAAAATATATAAAATGCTAATGTTTATCTGTGTCGTCTCTACTGAAGTAACGACTTGCTCTAGAAAGTTGCTTTTTTACTAAAAGATAGCTAATTGATTCTAAAAACTGTCGTAGCCGGATTTTTCGTTTTTCATTTAATTAAAAAAATAAATAAAAAGTATTTTTTTCATGATGTCGTGGCGGATGCGCCAGGCTTCAACTAGTTCCAAATAAACCAACATAAAAATTATTGTTTAATATAACATCATTTTTTTTTTCAATCAAAACAGGACAAATAACACAACCATTTATTTTTCAAGATCAGTTTATTAAACTATGAACAAAAAATAATAATTACAAGTATGGCATTGAACACAAAAACATTATGTACTTCAGTACAGAGTTTTTGGGCAAAGTTAATAAAGGCAGAACAAAAAATATTCAATATTTATAGTAAATTTAGTCAATAAAAAAATATAACATTCCAAGTAAATACTTAAAGTTATCGAAAACCTTACTTATTATAGTTTTTAATCATATTATAACCTTAAAATACAACAAATCATCTCCTAAAACAGCTGGCAATATAAATATGGCTGTTTTATAAAAATATTTGCATACAGATATATACCTAGTCCACAAAAAATCTGTAAAATATATCAAAACAGTTCTGTACATAATATATAAAAAGTAACTATAACATCACAGACAGAGTATATTATATGTACATCAGTATAAAATATTCATTATTGCTTCAACCGTAACAACCAATAGATTTTATTACTTTAAAACCTTCAAAAAGTCAACAAGTAAACTTATACTTATTTTTTTCAGCCTTAAAATTTTTACAAGTAAAGTCAGAACGTGTTTTGGGTTTTTTTCTGTCACTAGCAACACCTGTTTTGAACTGACCTACCGTGAGCAATACTATTAATACTTAAATTTACTGTTTCCTCCACCGCAGTTTCTGTGGCTTCTAGTTCACTGGATTTTGCCATCATATTGTCATCGTCCTCAAAATTTGAATCGTCATTGGCAATTTTACCAGAAACTTTTATTAGTTCTCTAGCAATACTTTCAAAAATCAGTCCTACACCCTTCAAAAAAACATATTGAATATTTTACTTAAATTGAAAAAAGGTATTCAGTTATACTTGATCAGTTTTTGCTGAACTCTCATGGTATAATGCCCCAATACTATTAGCATACTGTAAAGCTTCATCTCTGGAGACTTTTCGCTTGCTAGAAAGATCAATTTTATTTCCAACAACACACAAAATCATAGGCTCTAAAATGTTCTTTCTCAATTCCTGAACCCATCCCTTTATGCTTTCAAATGAGGCATAATTGGTAATATCAAAGACAAGCAAGGCTGCATTAGCGTTCCTGTAGAACATGGGGGCCATAGCTTTAAATCTTTCCTCACCTGCTGTGTCCCATACCTAGTAATGTACGAAATTATATAAATACTTTTTTAATTAAAAACAAAATATTTTACCTGTAATAAAACAGGAATGTTTCCTATGGTTAATTTGCAAGAAAAAAATGATGCTCCAACTGTAGGAGTTACTTTCTTGAAGGTTCTTTCAGCATACCTTATAACGGTAGAGCTCTTGCCCACGCCTATGAAAATAAATGAACATTAAACTGTTAAATAATTGTTATAAAAATATTACCCCACAATCCTAAAACCACTAACTTTGCAACTATAGGTTTCATATTCGTTTAAAATAATTTATAACATCGGGTTTGAAACAATGAATAATTATCACTAGATCATAGTTATAGTTATAGCATATCTAGGTAATTGAAAAAGTTAGATATGATTAAGTTTATCACGGTATTTTACATAAATATCAGAGTAAATATAAATAAACTTTTGTTTGGTTTGGTAATTTGACATCTGATTTGACAGATATTTGAAAGGCAACCATAGATTAAACAAACAAAAAATTCTTCTTCTTTTAGTTTTTAATAGTTAAATGACCTACTAGATAGATATAAATAATTAAAATATTAAGATAACTAGTTAAAAAATAAATAATTAATTAATATAATTGAAAATATACTGTAATAGAGCAAGAATATACTAAGAAAAAAGGTTTCTATACATAAAGTGTATTTATTTTTGGCAATGTATTTTAAGTTGCCAATATAAAAGTAGTTCAAATGTTACTTGACATCTGAAGCTAACTTTATACCAGATGATTATAAAAGGAAAATTTTGAAAGGTTATTTTTCTTTTTCAAACATTTTTCTCGATTGTACGGGTGTGTTTAAAAAATATAAGTTTATCTTCATAATCTAAACTTATTTATGTTTTATCTCTTTATCTAACAATACATTTCACTTAAATGTAAACGCTTTTGTGAATATTTTTAATAAAATGCCAAGTGACGATGAAGAAATTTCAACGCAATGGACGAAATCCTTAACACCCGAAGAACACCAACGTTTAGAACAACAAAATACCCGTTTGGTAAGCAACCATAAAGCAAATACTCTAGAAAACGAAGCTAAAAAACACTGGGATTTATTTTACAAGCGAAACGAAACCCGTTTTTTTAAAGACAGACACTGGTCCACAAGGGAGTTCACTGAATTGCTCAGTGACGATGAAAACGAGAAAAGACGGGTTTTATTTGAAATTGGATGCGGCGTGGGCAATTTTATATTTCCCTTAATAGAAGAGAAGCTGGATTTTAAAGTTTTTGCATGTGATTTGTCTCCAAGAGCTATAGAAATTCTTAAAACCAACCCGTTATACAACCTATCAGAAACAACAGCATTTCAGTGTGATATCACTACAGAAGACGTACATAAACATGTTGAAAAAGACTGTATAGATATAGTAACCTTAATATTTGTATTATCAGCTATACATCCTGATAAATTTACCATTACTTTGAAGAACATTTTTACAGTACTTAAACCAGGAGGTTTGGTACTCTTTCGAGACTACGGACTGTACGATATGGCTCAAATAAGATTTAAACCTGGAAATAAGATAGCTGAGAATTTCTACATGAGACAGGATGGTACAAGAAGCTTCTATTTCTCAACTGACTTTGTTAAATCGATTTTTGAAATTGTTGGTTTTGAAATCATGGAAAACACTTATATACATCGAAGAACAGTTAACAAAAAAGAAAATGTTGATGTTCCTAGGATTTTTGTTCAAACTAAAGCAAGAAAACCGGCTTGAAGATGATAGAGGTAAAGATAAATGTTTGATTTAGTTTAAAATGTCTCTTTTATGATGAATTTTTATTAATAATGATTTCCTGTGATATATACTTAAATATTAGCTCTATCTGAAAGTATTTAAAAGCATTATAGATTTTCTGTTATAATTCTTTTTAATTCAAGTACATATTTTTTTCAGATTCATGATGGTTAAAAGATAGTTAACTCTACAACTTATATGGAGTGTTTGGTAAGTTTATTTTTAGATTATAGTAAAATAATTAAGAATTATATTAAATGATGACAAAAAAACACCGAGTATGAAACAAATGATTAATTTTTTAACATGCACTACCAACTGAAGTTTGGTTTAATATTGATTGTGATTTTTTTTAAAAAATTAAGTTACTAAGCAATTTTTTTTATTTTTAGGTTAACATTGAATGTTATGGAACATTATGTTTTGGGGAATTCAAATATAGGTAAGTTTTTAATGTTTTTTGTATTTAATAATAATTTTACTATTAATATATAGACGGTTTTATTAATTTTAAATGATGAATGTCATGCACCACTCTGATTTTTTTTGAAGAGACAGAAGACTCACCTTAACTGATTTTTTTAATTTAAATAACTATTATTTCAGTTAATTTTTTATCTTTTTTAAACATTTTTTTTTTTATTTATTTACAGGACCAGAAACAAGGGGAAACCTGAAATGATATAATTACATCACAAACGATGAGGTTTGTATTAAATTTTTAAATAATAATTTAATAAAAAATATTAGTGATGATCGCATAGTTCAGATGATTTGTGATTACTACTGTCATGTCTTTCGCTCCTAACTGACTGTTTTTTACAAATTTTGTTTAAAAAAGTATCTTTTTGTGTTTTTTTTTAATATTAATTTATTTGTTTCAGATTTCTTTTCAAATTTTGTGTTTTTTGAAAGTATCCAGATGCCTGGTTAGTACTTGGTAAGTTTTATCTTATATTTTCATTCTTTTATTAGAAAATTTCTTGATTTAAACATTTAAAAAAATATGTATGATCAAAAAACATGATGACAGCATAGTTCAGATGAATAAACATTGATTACAACCTTTATTGTCTTTCGCTCCTAACTGATATTAAATTTTAATAAAACATATTTTAAAAATTATTACGGGAAGTATATATTTTAAAACATGATTTTTTGTTGTATTTTCAGGTTAACGATATTCTGCCCAAGATGAAGAAGAAAACATGTTAAAATGTAATATTTTACTTACAAAAATAAAGTTACAGTATTATATGAATTTATAGTTTTATTTTTTCTTTAATAAATACCATAAAATAAGCAATACTGATAAAATTCAGTATGTTCAGAAAGAAACTGCGTCATAGTAGCCTTTGAAATTACAAAATAGACATTTTTGTTTGGCCCATCCCTGTTCATTTTCAGTGTAGTTACCATAATTTATCAAAATAAGTATAGAATATATTATATTTTTAAAAAGCTCATAACAAGCTGAATAAATTAATAATACACAGGGTGTCCTATTTAAAAAAGCACAAGTTTGAGACACAGACTGACTTTACAGAACTCAGTATTCACCTTTCCAATAAGTTAGAAGATAACCGAGATACGGGGGCGTGTCGAAAAATGCAACATTTTCAAAATCGCCCTGTATTTCAGAAAGCTAGGAAAAATTCGCGTGTAGCATCTTTAGTTTCATAAAAAAGTAATACAGTAATGTGAAAACCGCATCTTTATATCCCTAGTCCTAAACGAGAAACCCAAAAATGGGACACCCTGTACAGCATCTGTACAGGTTAATAAATTAAGATACTTCAAAGGAACCGACATTTATTGCCTCTTCTATATAGGTAGTTTGGAGTTGAAACTCTTTTTTTTTCAATTAAAACCAAAGTAAAACTCATTTTCTTACAAAATGCATTTCTATATTCGTCAAAAATAAATAAAACCTTAAAAATACAGACAAAAACATATCTATCTCACGTCCAAGTAAAGGTTTGTGTCTCTCCACAGTATTTCAAACACTCCAAATTAAAAAGAACCTCAGGATCGGCAGAACAAAAACTTTTTAAGATTTTCGAATTCAATCCACAATCTGACAAATTTTCCTTGCTAAAAACTGTTGTCCCCTGTTTCTCTATGTCCGATTTTCTCTGGTTTTTCCTCCTAACTTTGGTAAAAGCCCTTGTAGTCTCTATATCACTAAAAACCATGGTCATACTGTGATCAGAACTGTTAATATTCAGTAAATTGTGAATGGTAGTTGGTAAAATCGGTCCAATCAGTTCGAGAGAAAAATAATCTGTCCCATCATCATGAATTTTGTTTTCCCTGACTCTCAAAGAGTTCAAAGTGGCTCCATGGAATGAAACTGGTGCTAGTAATGTTGGTGGGACCCCAGCTAGGGCTCCGGTAGGAGATATAATGCTTTTACAATTAATTAAAAAGTTAAAAAATGCATTTACTTCAACACCTTCGATTAAAACCAAGCTCTGCTCACTATTATCCACCTCACATTCCGTTTTATGCACGATTCTAGCCTAAAATTGAAAACATTTAGTTAAAAAAACACCCAGTATTTTAAGTGATATTTACCTGTGTATAATTGATTTGTTTAATATCTTCAGAATTTATACCCATAGTTTTGAGCCATTCTTCGTCAGGTGTGTCCTCTTCATCAAAATCATTCTCCTTCTACAAAACACCAAAATTAATAAAAAAAAACACTTTAAATTTAAACATATTTACATTATTTTCACTCTGACTTTCATCTGTTTGGCCTGATTCCGATTCCTGAGTCTCATAACCCTGGTCCGAAGCTCTTTTCTTCTTCAAAGGCATAGTAAATTCGATTTCTTCCTGCCTGAGCATATGCCTGAAGCCCCTGGTTGTCGGGGTTATAATAACATGAACATCTGTGTAACTCAACAAACCGGCAGCACGAAAAAGTACAGTAAAACTATTAGCACACACATAAAAATATGGACACTGTCTAGTTCGTATCAGTTGAAACAGAGACCTAAAACTATCTGTCCATGTTTCATGAAGTTTATTTTTTATAGAGGAGCTTGAAGATAAGTTAAATTCGTTTGAAATCACTTTCGAGGTGGTTCTGGGGAACAGTTGAAGCCAAGGGAGTGAGGGATGTTGCCAGTATAAACAACACTGATGGAATTTTGAGTTTGGAGACACATCAACAGTTGATTCACTATGTTCCATGTCTAGGCAACGCGTGAAACTCGTTATTCCCGAGGCTTCTTCACTAATTTTCAGTTTCTGGTTCCAAGGGAAGGGTTTTAAGGAAATTAGTCTCATTTTCCTCCTCAAACACCAGTCAATTGGGCACCAATCCTTTCCAGTAGCTTTTACAACCTCCACGCGCTCTTCAGGTTTATCTAACTCATTTATTCTAGCCAGAACTCCATTAAATGAAGTGAGTGAGCTATCAGGAACACTATCACAAGCTGACTGGTTCAAAAGTTTGAACAAAGTTTGGTCAGTGGACTCCTCGAGGAGTCCCTCGTTGTTTCTGGCTTTTTTCGGCACATTTTCACTTTTTTCGAAAGGGTTTTTACGTTTTCTACCGCTAAGAACGTTCTCGAAGGGCGAAGCCTTCTGACTAGACGCACTACCATCGTTTTTATTGCTAAAACTACCGTTTATTCGTTGTTGTAATGCCTTCTTTTTCAGCTTCAATTTGTGCAATTTTAGAACGTCGTTAGGGTGTTGCCATTGTACATCTTTGCCGGGACTAGACTGCATAATTAACACTAACTTAAAAAACACTTAAATTCAAATTTAAAAAGGCCCTTTCTAGGTCGAAAATTGGAGGGAAATTGTAAACAAAGCACTTGAAAGGACAGCTGCATGTGACAGCGACAGCTGTTTGGCCATCTGGCGAGAGATTTTAAAATTAGGACGCCAAATGTATTAATTTTTTTTAAATAATATACCTATATTTCTTTTATTTTTCGACTTATTCTTCAGTTTCATAAACTAAAAATTTAAATTATGAACTTCAGAGTTATTACCTAAAAGTTTTTCTTACAAGTATGCTTTAAATAATTGTTTTATTTTATTGTCAAATTTGTATCAAAGGAAAAAGTGCGCATCTAGTGCGCATTCTAGATTAACTTTCCAGGTATTTATCGCAAAACAAATGCAAGTTTCTTGGAAAAAATTGATTTAATTGCTGTTTTTTTCTAGTAGACATTATAAAATACAATGAATGTTAAAAATGTATGTCAAAGAATAGGTAAATGTACGTGTTTATTGTAAGAAAAAAATTATATTATTAAAAGTAAGAAATTAGATTTATTATTAATTAAGAATAATTTTTAATACTGTTATTATGTACAAATGATCAAAAATTCAAGCTCATATTGGTAATAACCAGAGGTAATAACAAATAATAATTTTAAAATTTTTGTTTTAGTAAAGAAACCTGTAATTTATTTAGGTTGCTTATTGAATGAGCCGACAGATGTCACCACCTGCTTTTTCATCAGGTTTGTTATACAGGGTGTCCAAAAAAACGTTCACATTATACAAGATGTGATTAAATTTACTTTTTACGATTCTTGACGGATTTTTTGTTATCTATAATTTCTCTGTAGGTGTTTTCTTGTTAGTTATTGTCATATGTCATATTATGCTAGAACAATTTTATTGCAGCTGAATATTATTATACAGGGTGGCGCACTTTATTCACCTCGGTTGATTATACGAAAACGGAAAGATGTAGAAACAAAACATTTTATGGGTATATGTGGATAATTCAATGTGCATAATTTAAAATTATTTTGAAATGTACAGGGTATGTCAGAACTAAAATCCACACCAAATTTATTTTTTTCTTATCGAACACCTGGTACTTTATTTCATTTTTGGATCCTAGGACACAAAATAAAATATTTATTATAACGGTTAAATATGTTTACAAGCTTTTTTTTGAGATATTTAAATATGCATGCTATAATAAAAAAGATTATCAACGCCCTGTACATTACTTTCCAGAATTCATTCTTGTGCTGACTTTAAAGCCAGAGAAATAAACTTTACTGAAATAATTGATTACTTCGTTTAATGTATACAGGGGTATCAAAAATTGGTGGTTTATTTTAAATATTTATTTTACATAAAAACTTCGTTATTTCAAATGCAATACTCTCCATTTTTTAAAATAAGTCGAAGCAGATTTAAAAGCTCTTTCAAACTATATTAGGGTTTCCATACCTATCTAGCTCAAATTTTGAATAAAGAGCAATTTTTCAATAAAATGACAATCAAGAAGGCTGTTGTCGTTATGGCAAGTTTCTATTGACACTTAGTAGCGATTTTCAAAACTAGTTTTCACATTAGTTTATGGACTTCTTGACATTTATATTTATTTACTTTTTCTTCGTTTTTTAAACAAAAAAATCCTCTGGCTGCCACTGACATAGTACATACGGTAGCGAGCGACCTAAAGGGACGTAATGGCCATTCTCCGAGCAGGGGGGAGGGCAGGGAAGTAGGGTCGGGGGGCCCAATGAACCCCCTTATAATTAGCGCCAGATTAAAGTTGTGTCTGGGGAGGCATTAAACGATTTAGCTCTGTTAATTAAAAGTGTAGTGCGGAGTGGGGTTGCAGCGCAGATAAATGGCCGCCACGAAGCCACGTTGCCACGTTTCGAAGGTTTTTCAGGAAATCCAGGAAAAAAACTCAAACTAAAATACAGTAAAACGTCACTTTCGCGAAAAGAGTAGTCCGAACAAGTAGCAAAATAAGCGTTCGGCATTTAACGTTTTATGTTAAACTGGATATAGGTATTTTTACACGAATGAAGAAGGAAATTAAGGATAAATGACGACCCGACCCCTGAGAGCAACCCGAAAGTACAGCGTAATAGACTCTTAATTAATTTTTTTTTTTAAAAAAGTTAATAAAATTGCCGAAAAAATGTCAACACGTAAAGGAGTTACACAAAGTTTTTGACACAACGTATTTCCTGATACCACCGACTGATACATACACTTTTCCTAAAACCAGTAATGAAAAAATATAAAACAGGAAATAATATGAAATAATTACAAAAAAAACACACTGAATTCGTAAAAATTCAAATAAAAAAAAATTAGTATTTAATTCATTCTTTAGTAACTTTATTCAATGATACAATATCTTCAGGAAAATAAATGCGAAGTATTGGCAAGAGCGCTTCGCAGAGAAAAGCGTTTTTCTTCCATTTTCTCTCCCTATTTTCCGTTTGGTAAAATGGAGAGGGATTGTGGAAAACGCGGAAATAACTTTAGAACGAGAATCTTCTTTCTTTATAATTCTGAATTTCCTGATTTTTTTTAGATTTCTTTCAAAACTTTAATTCTTTATTAATATTGTTAATTGTTATATATTATATTTAAAATTAATAGGCACTTCACTTTATAACTAGTAAACAACAAAAGAAAAGTGTATTTTGAAAAATATTTTCATAAATTTAGCCAGGCGATGCGATTTTTTATATTTACTGTTTAAAAAAGTATAAGCAATGGTTTAAAACATCTGAAACTATATACTTGTCGTATGTAGAATTTTATATTCTTTTAGAATATGTTTTGCTTTGATATCAAACATTATTAGATTTAAGGTAGTATCCGGGAGAGACAACCCTATTTTTGAGGATTTTGTCTAAAGTTGATGATACAGTACAAGTTTTCCTCTTTGCTGTTAAATAACAGTAATAACTTCTGAAACTACTGAATTTTACTGAAAATATATAAAATGTCATGTTCTTTTTGAATATGTACAGGGTGGGTCAAATTCGACGTTTTTAAATGGAAACACCCTTTTCTATAGGAGATAGACGAAAACTAATATCGGTGACTGGAGCTCAATTTTCATCAAAAACATGATGATGAAAACCGCACATCAATATCTGTTACCGTTTCGGAGTTACGGGGTGTTTTTGAAAAATGTGCATTTTTAACAAATCGCTGTAACTTTTTTGCCATGGAAAATTTTGTATTTCTATGAAAACATTTCCAAAGCACCTTTTTACGTAGAATTTAATGCTTTAAGTATAATTTTTTTTTTAAATTAATAATTTAAGAGTTATCAACAGAGAAATTGATTTTTTATTTGCGACACCCTCTATATTTTTAATTAACTGAAAAGAATTTAAAATTACCTTTCCAAAAATATAGCACACTTGATATTTTGTTATAGTCTTTCTTTCGAAATACAGAATTTTTAAAAGTTCGCCACTTTTAACTAGCCCTTAATGGAACTCGAAAACATATTTTTCCAGCAAGACGACGCACCGCCTCTGAACGCTGAACTTATCAGCAAATTTTTGCAGCCAATTTATGCCTTTTTTGCAGCCAAAGATCCCAGCCTTTGGCCGTCGCGGCCGCCTGACTTAGTGCCCATGGATCTAATCCTATGGATATATTTGCGGAAGAATAAAGGTTCCTTATTCCGTATAATCTAGACAAGAATTAGAAATACTTAGCAATTATGAGAGGGTATCTTATCGCCCCCACTGAGTTAATGAATTCCCCGAGAAATGTTCAAAAACTGTCCATAACAGAAGACGGTCGATATGTCGAACACCTGTAGCAAAATCTCATGTCTTGGTTTGCTATTTATTTTTATTGTTATTAGATATAGTTTAAATGTGTTGATGTTGGTTAAATATATTTTAAATTGTTATAAAATTCTGCATCTCTCATAGCAAATATTATTTTCGTTTTAATTGATGTTCACAGCGAGAATTTTTTTGCATTACAGCAGGTGCCGTTCAAAGCCTACTTATTTAAAGCGGGCGAATTTTTATATACTCTATATCTCGAAGAGGAATCGAGCAAAATATCAAGTGTATATTTTTGGAAAGGTAATTTTAAATTCTTTTCAATAAATTAAAAATATACAGGGTGTCCCATATAAAAAATCAAATTTTCTGTTATTCTTAAATTATTAAAATCAATCATTAAATTCTACGTAAAAAGGTGCTTTGGAAATGTTTCCATAAAAATACAACATTTTCCATAGCAAAAAAGTTACAGCGATTTGTTAAAAATGCATATTTTTGAGAAACACCCCGTAACTCCGAAACGGTAACAGATATCGATATGCGGTTTTCTCTATCATGTTTTTGACAAAAATTGAGCTCCAGACACCAATATTAGTTTTTGTCTCTCCTATAGAAAAGGGTGTTTCCATTTAAAAGCGTCGAATTTGACCCACCCTGTACAGCACTCAGATAAAAAAAAATATTAAAAAGTTTGAAGCATAAAAATTTCGAAAAAAGTCTTTAAAATTTCTTGATCCTTAGTTTCATATAACCCCCACTCTTTTTGTAACATCCCAGAAAACCTATTATACCCATTTTTACAAAGAATATTCGGTTCTCTTGACCTATTAACCCGGCGATATGACTCTTTTCGATCATACGGTACACAGAAATGTTTCTAAGCGATAAACTACAAATTAAAAATCTGTGTTTACAGAATAGAACCAGAGCAGTAATCATCCAACTGACTTGACAGCATAATGTTGATTCGGTCTTCTGATTGCTTAGTGTAGTGAACAAGGTTGTGATAGTTTTATTAGTTCGTAAACAGCAAACACTCGCTGTTTTTTTTTCAAAATCACCGAGAGGTTCAAAACGAAAATAGAACATGGATAAATTTTGGGTAAGATTCAAGTTCTCTGCTATTTTTAACTTTTCTGTTCTTTATCAATGTGTTTAAGGTATTTTAAAATGCATTTTTAAGTATTTTAAAAATTTATACAGATATATTCAGTATACAGTGTGTCCCCGGATTGTTTTTACGAGAGGAAAAACTTTTTTATTATGGACATTTTAAGAAAAATGCATTCTTCCAAATTTCCATACCGTTTTAGAGAAAATTAAAAGAAACCATGAAAATATGGTTGAATATTTTCCTAAAATCTTCTTTGTTAGATGGTTATTATTAATTTTGATTGACGTCATATTCTTTATTGACGTCATATTATTTTTTTATATATACCATTTTTTTTTGTTAAAGTATCAAATTTTTCGAAAACTATTGTCACCATTTCGAAACGGTATAAAAATTTGGAAAACTATAAAGAGGATTAACCACTTTAGAACAAGCAAATTTTTTTTTATAAAGAATGCACTTTTTCAAAACGTCAATAATAAAAAAGTTTTTCCTATTATAAAGAAAATCCGGGGACATACTGTATAAGTAGTTGCTTACCTATGTGAATGAATATAATACAATATTTTTAATGAGTAACTATAGTATTTTAGCATAAAACTAAGTACTAGGACTCAACAATGCCAGAAATTGATATTTCATATTTTCTTACAATATTTCATCCCCAATTTTACCCTCTAAAGGGGTGACATTTATAGCGGTCAATAAACTCATAATTTAAAGTTCCATGTTTCTAGACTTAAACCATAATGATTTTTTACACAGGGTGTTGCTTATTGACATACTAATATACCATTTTTTTTCCAAAAATATTCAATACAAAATCAGTGCGGACGTCACTGGTTAGAACAAATAATATTCTTTGTACACCAAAAAAGGCATTTTGATGCATAGAAGACTTGTATCGAGATTCATAAAGATACCTGTAATAAAATAACATCATGAGTTATTTTTAAAAAAAATTTAGAACATTTTTTCACCCTGTATCTCAAAAATCAAGATGTTTTTTCTTAGAATATATCTATGAATCAGTCAGTTAGAAACACCCTGTATATTTCACCCCCTATTACTCCCTAAACACTACAAAACCCTACATTAAAGATAGGTACAGTAGTTAATACAGAAAAAAAAGCGTCATGTTACCTTAGAAACGTCGACCGATATAATCATATAATATGGAAATTTTTTGCTTTTTTTTCGAAAATACTATACTTTCAACAGGTACTAAAGAAGAGGTTTAAATAATATAAAATTTAATGTCAAATAATTGATTTATTGATGTTTAATTAATAGACTTTAACGTAATATAGGAAAAAAAATAATGATACAGTGGGATCTTCCTGCAAAATAAAAATAATAGATAAAAAAACTAACGTAGGTGGGCCTATACGAAGTGCTCTACATATTTCAACCTTTTTATCAACAAAATTGTCACTGAAACTAGATAAGTCCTTTAAAAGGTTACCAGGAAATATACTATGCATATTTATCAAAACAAATAAATAACATCATTTATTAATCCGAATTATTTTTATTTTAATTTCTAAGAACGATATTATGTAAATAATAAGGGAAAATATGAAAATTACCAGTCAAAACAAAAATTCAACGAAATTATTTTCAAAATAAATTTAACACCCTGTATAAAGCACTAATATAAAACCAGCTACATAAAAACTTGAACAATAATTTTCCCATCAAAAAAAAATATTTTATTATTATTAACAAACTTTTTGAATAACAAAATAGATAATACATTCTATAAATAAATAATAAAAATAAACAAATATAAACAAGTACCTAACCATAAAATGTGTGATAAACATTTTTGACTTTCACTGCCTTTCTGAGACAAATTTCATATCTGGCTACATTGCGATACGAAGAAAATCTTTAAATACTATACAGGGTGACTCCAAACTTTAATATAAAATTTTACTAAAAAAACTTTAACTACACTAAGAAGAAAAATATACAGGGTGGTCCGAGCTGTATTCCGGAAACTTCGGCAGCAGATTCTGCACATAAAAATGTTCGTTTAAATGTATGTCGTAAAATGCTTAGTTTTGGAGATACAGGGTGTAGAAATTTCATTTTTATTTCGATTTTTTTCAAATAATTTTTGAAGTAACGTCAATATTTGGATGAAAATTAGTGTCTGGAAGTTTTTTGACGTGATAAATTTGATTTTGATGTCAATATAACTCTTATTTGTAGGGGGCGCCACATACATGTGTTTTAAGTGCTTTTAAGAGTAATAAATTTTCGTCCGTACGGAATACAGTTCGGACCACCCTATGTAAAATTAATTTATTATTATTAGGTAAATTAATAATTAATTATAGGTATGTAAAGTTTAAAACTAAAATAATTTCGGGCTTCCATTGTATTTATTTATTTTGAAAATGAAACTTTCCATCTGTTTCCATCAATTATACGAGGGAAAACAAAATGTTGATATTTTGATGAAAGTTTCAAACACCCTGTGGAATTTGTTAACAATGCAAGGAATTTAAAAATACAAAATCATGGCTTAGAAGTAAAAAATTCGAAAAAATGTTAGTATCTGCTTCAAAAGCAAATATCTCCAAAAAAAATAAAGCTACTGAGATGAATCAAAAAACAAACTATCGAGAAAAGACACATCTAGATGATAAAGTGATTTTTAAATTCCTTGCTTTGTTAACGCACTCCACAGGGTGTTTCAAACTTCCATCAAAATATTGTTTTTATCATTTTGTTTTTCCTCGTATAATTAACAAATAGCAACTTTCATTTTTAATTTAGCTACAAATCGCTTAAAAAATCATCAAAATCGATCCACTAAAACACAATATATTAAACTTTAAAGTATATGAAAGTTCTAAGATTAGTAGGTATATTACAATCTTTTATAAATAATTATAATAAAGACTAATGAAGATTTTTTGACTCCCTCGTACTTAATAGTAGAAAGATAATGACAAGCTTAAAGATAACAGGAATCTGTACCAGGCCGTACCTCCTAGTACTTAATCATGTTTGACCCTTGACACTTCAATTTTATTTTAGTAAGATAAAACATTTTTATTTATCGAAAATTATAACAAAAATATATAACCAACAAGAGACTTAACATTATTGTTATTATTTATTAGTATCTACGTTTATGAATTTAATCTGTGGTCAAACTTGTTGATAGTATTCTCGGAGCTTTGAACGCCTTTTAAAATAAACAAATGCACCGAAATAATAGATACGGGTGTAATTTATATACAGGGTGTGTCTTAAATAAGCGCAAATATTTTTGAGAGAGTGGGAATATTTTTTTCAATATATTTTAAAAATTGTAATAACAAAAATGGGTCTTCTGTCCATTCTACCAATCCTTAAAATACTTGATCTTATTTAGGAAACACACTATATACAGAGACTATATACTATATTTATATTATTCAGCGTACAAGTTTTAAGTTTTCAGTGCTTTAAAAAAACTTACATTTTGATTTTTACATTGTATGTAATCCTAAAAAATGTTGCGTTAGTGAATATAAAGGTTTATAGTTTTCAAATTAGTATACAGTGCGAATCAAAAATAACTCTAATGCCCTATACCGTTCATTAGGCGGTAAGTGCATGAAAAGAAATAACAAAAATTAAAAGAAATATATAATACAATCATCTTTAATATATTTATCGTTACTATCTTTCATTTTACAGTATTTTCTTTTGATTTTAGGTCTTTCGAGTTATCTTCACGCTCACCATCATCACACAAACCTTCACCGACTTCACCTACCACGTTATGAGCAAAGACCTGATGAAGTGCTCCTACGGAGAACGAGGCTCTTTGACAGCCACCTGTGTCAACGCTACCCCGAGCTATTTCAAGAGCACCCTGTATAAGTTCGACCACCTGGACGAGACTGTACAGTGTGTCAACTGTAACTTGACCAGTATAGAGCCCAATACCTTTGATTTATCCGGCAATCACATCAACACCTTGAATATTAGTGAATGTATGATAGAAAGTTTGAAGCCTAAGGCTTTTATGGGGTTGATTTTCTTGAAGTATCTGGATATGGGCAATAATAAGATTAAATCTGTTTATCCAGGTAAGAAGATGAGTATATATACAGGGTGTTTCAAGTAATATTTTCACATATTTTTATACTCATATGGTAATGGCAAAACAATTTCCGATGCACGTCATCAACTTTGAGTGACAAGCGATGGCGACAGCGCTGCCATTTAGCCTTTATTATTCGACATAGTTGAAGTTGTTGGCATTTTGAAAAAACAATCGAAAGATAAAAAAACGCTGATAAGACTATCAAAATGTTGATCTAATAACAATTTGACGTTTATACTATTACGCCAAAAGCAACTTTTTTCCAAAGCCTACCATGACTTCGCTGAATCATCGTTTCTTGTCCACTGTTATTAATATCTTAATTATTAAATATTAATACCCCTGATATTATGGTATTCTGGTATTTCGTCGATTTTAAAATAAACTAACTGTTTTTATCTTATTTTTTGTTAGAATGGGCATAATCAAGAGGGCTATTGATACCGTGTTGTAAAAATAAGGTAATTAAAGGCTTATTTTTTGGTATTTATTATAATTTTGCTAATATCTTTGGTTTGAAAGAAGATATCAAGATGCGGTTTTCGCTGACTTTTTAAGCTTTTACTACTCTTTACGATCAGCTAAAACTACATATACTATTGCATATAATTTTTTTTGAAAAAACGCGCAATGTTTGTTAAATTGTAAGACAACGCCCCCTAGCGCCTACGTTCAAAAGCTTATTATATTGTTGATAAGGTATAATATAGAGTAAGAAACGCTCTTTTAAACGAGCCCTCGCTTGTTGGATTCCGATCATCCAGTCCAGAGTTATTAATATTTAAATAAAAACAGATCTAACCTTCCCCCACCACTTTATTTTGGTAGATAGGGGAAAATGGCTCTAACAAAAAATATTCAAAATTTACTGAAGATTAAGAAGCTATTACTTATAGTACACCTTATCTAGACAAAATTGTGTAAAAACTCCATTTTCTTATTTTTTGTTGCAGTTGCGCCCCCGAGCGGTCGTTCTACAAACTTGAAAATAATTTCCAGCAATTTCTCATAGCCTCTTTAGTTATAAATATTTTTTTCCGCAGCCCCTACGGCTAATACTTTCAGAGAAGAGCTATTCTTAGTGGGACACCCTGTACAATTACAAAAAAAAAGACTATGAAAAATTCGCAAAAAAACGAGAATTACTCCCAAAGATTGACATGTTAATTGTCAAATCATAAACGACAACGTTGCTGATCGCGGCGCAATGTGACCAACATGGCGATAATAAAAATCGCTTTAAACTAATTTGTGCAGCTTTAATCGAAATAGAATATCTGTTACAATCATTTGCTCTATAAAGTAAAATGAAGAGCTGCTTAAATTATACAACAAATTTAAACAGTTTTGGCCAAAATTTCATTTCAGGCAGGTTTACAGGCTTTAGTGTCAATTTCGATGTGATTGATGACGTGCATCGGAAAATGTTTTGCGACTACCGTATGTGGTATTATTAATTTGAAAGCAGAAATCGGACGAATATCAATTTTCAATTCACAGTTATATTATCCCCATAAAATATTCATAAAGAAAGAAATAAACATTACATAAAAAATCTTTAATAAAAAGTCATTATTTCATATAAATATTATTGTAAAAAACAAATTTTCCAAACAAATCATCTTTCCTTTCACAGGAACCTTCAACGGAGCCAAAAAAATCGAAACCATAGACCTATCCAGAAACGAAATCACAATTTTGAATGAAAGCGGCTTCGCCGAATTGTTCAACCTGAAGAAACTCATCCTGTACAACAACTCCATCAGCGTGATAGCCGAGAAAGCCTTCACAGGTCTCACCAGCCTTCAAGAGCTCGATTTAGGCTACAACCAGATCACCGACTTAAAAAATGTAGTCTCCAATTTGACTTCTTTACAAATTCTTAAGTTAAATAACAATAAACTTAAAACCATTAATGAAACAGAGTTTTACAACCTGACTAATCTCGATTTGTTGTGTCTGGATCACAATTTTTTGACCAGTCCTATTATAGAATTGTCACCTAATAACCAGCTAAGAAAGATCAGCTTGATTGAGAACACTATTGACACGTTTTGGGTGATTTTGGAAAGAGCCTACGCCCTGGAAGAGTTAAATCTTCGTGGAAACAATATTTCGGGAATATCTGCTGTTCCAGGGATCAATTTTCCATCGTTACGAGACCTAGATTTGTCCAGGAACTCCATCAAATCATTTCAAACTCATCAATTCACTGGTTTACCTCAACTAAGATACTTAAACATCTCCCATAACGTTATAGAAGACGTTAGAATCACCGGAACAATGTCCATACCAAGTCTACACACTCTGGATCTGTCCTATAACAACATATCTGATCTGGACTACCTTTTACTCATATCCAGAACCCCTTCTTTGTCGTATCTGAAGCTAGAAAACAACTTGCTGTCTTGTTATTTGGAGGAAGAAATGGCCAGAGAATTCGCTGAGGACAACTTCAAGTTCGTGCTCTTCGAAAACAGTGAGGGATCTGTCAAATGCTTGGACAAACCTGTGTCATCTAACATTCAAAAAGCAAAGAAAGATCTGTATGTTAGTCAAGATTCTGACTCGATCACAGCAGGAAATATAGTGATTCTGGTGCTGTTATCCTTTGTGATTGTGGCTGTGGGTATACTGTTTTATGTCCAGTATTTGTTTTATAAAGGTGTGAGGATTAGTTTGGGTGGAAGGGTTGAATCGAACCTTCAGCTGATCAATCCGGACAGTGAGCGTGATCACGAGATGGGACATGGAGATGAGGAAATTCTTTCTAGAAGTTAGATGGGATGTTGTATTATTTATAACTTGTAAAGATTTTTTTGTAATATATTGTTTTTTTTGTAAATTATTAGTTTGGTGTTTTTGTTGTGTGTAAGAGGGCGTTTTAGAGTACTTTGAATTAAGGTAAAATAAGACTCTGAATAGAATGATGTATCATATGTCAACTTTTGACATTTTCGCATATGGTTTGTTTGAAATTATAACTTGCGGTTCGTAACGAAAATTTGACTCGAAATACCAAGTGTGTGACATCAAATTATTCGCAAAAAAATGCTTTTTCCAAATATGCTAATGAGCCACCCTCGTTCCATTTGAAAAAATTGAGATATGATTAAAAATACGATTTGAGCCAGGACAAGACACTAAAAACATTAGACGATCTAATATATTTTTCCAAGGCTCCTTGATTAAGAGATAGTGTTTTTAACATAGCACTCTAGATTAAATTTTAAAATACGATTTTTTATCAAGCGAGAATATCAAAAGTTGACATATCATATGTCATTCTATTCAGAATATCATTTTCTATCGAAAAAAGTAAAAAAAATACCAAGGGTGCCATTTAAAAATCAAAAGTTGTAGTAATTTCCGGTGAAACAGGAAGTGACCAGAAACAATTGAATACGTCAATCAATCCGAATTTATGTCATATACTAACATACCAAATCTCGTTTTGTTATTTGAAAAAATAAAAAAGTTATAGGGGTGAGCCATTTTTGAGACGCACCCGGTAACACTGCTAGTGTCATCAGCATATTCCTGAGGCTCAGTTTGCATAGTTTTAAGTATAAAAAGTATTAAAACCAAGAGTTCCAACTTAAATTTATATGTCTTCTCTTCCAGACTTTTGTGCTTTCTTCAATTCTAATCATCCAAAGCTTCCCAAGCATCGAAGCATTAGAAAGCATGAGCTGCAAGTACGCCGAAAGAGGTTCCTTAACAGCCAGATGTTCCTACGCTATTCCCAGCTTCTTCAGAGCCACAATCTACCACTTCGATCACCTGGACGAGACCCTGGAATGCGACCATTGCAACCTGACCCATATAGAGGGTGGAACCTTCGACATTGGAGGCAACATGATCAGGAAACTTGTGCTGTACAACAGCAACATTCAAAACGTTTCTGCCAGAGCCTTTACCGGTTTGGTGCATTTGGAAGAGCTGATTCTGAGCAATAACCGTATCAAGAGTTTCCTTCCTGGTGCATTTTTTGGTATCAAGAAACTAAAAGAGATCTACATGAACAACGCGCTTGACTGCCAGCTGCCAAACTATGTCTTTACAGGATTAACAAATTTGAAGAGGCTTTATTTGAATAATAATGGGTTGAGTGTTTTGGAAAACCAGACTTTTGATGGGTTGGAAAGTTTGGAGTATTTAGATTTGAGTCATAATCAAATAACTCATCTAAATCATTCACTTTTACCTTTAAAAAAGCTGGAAATCTTACTTATTTTCAATAATCGTTTGTTATATCTTTACTCGGAAGAATTTACTGGCCTTAACAGACTCCTGAACATCATGGCATCCAATAACAACCTGACAGGAGTTCATTTCACACATTTTTGCGAAAATAACTTAAGAAGTCTCGATTTATCACATAACTCTTTAACGATATACCAGATATTACTTGAGTGCCTGCATAAACTAGAAACACTCAATTTGGAGCACAATTTTATAACTAACGTTCAAAACTACGTTCGCAAGAATCAATTTGAGGGCATGTACAATCTCAGAACGCTCAACCTAGCTGATAATCTCATCAAAACATTCACGTCTGGATCGTTTACAGGGTTGCCTTTGCTCCAAACTCTGAACCTTTCCACCAATATAATCGTAACTCCAGAAATCACAGGAAAACTCATACTACCCCACCTGTACAACCTGGATCTGTCAAATAACTACATCAGTGACTTCGACGTCACCAGATTCATGACGCGACTACCCAGATTGCGTCACATAAGCTTCAGAAACAACTCGTTGAGCTGTAACATGCGAGCAAAGTTGCAGATACTTTTTTCCGAGTTGCACTTTGAGTATGACGTTGACAGTTCCAATTGTACCATCGATGTTGTCAAAGCAAGGATGAGTTTGAGGGAGGATTTGGAGTCACCTGGTGGCAGTACGGGCTTGGATGTTTTTCTTTGGATTTTGACGTTTGTGGTTATTTTGCTTGTGGTCCTCCTGTATATTGGAATGTTTTACTTGATTAGAAGGAAATAGTTGTGTATTTTTTAGGTGAAATTATATTTATTAATTTGTGTATTTTATATTCTATGAAATTTAATAAAGATTTGATTTTATTATTAGTTTTGTGATAAATGTTATTAATGATTTAGTTGATGCAAATCGGAGTAAACAAACACATTTAACGCCGATAAAAACAGAGCGTAGTACCTAAACAGTACTTCCAGTAAAATGTTTTCCGGTTGTTTCAATATTTGTATAGAAAAACTGGGCAGAGTGTTGTTACACAGATTGTTACAACAGCACCAAGTGCCAATATTTGATAATTAATTACTCCATTTTCTTGGCGAGGGTAGCCAAACAGAAGATAACAACGCAAACAGGGTTGGGTGTTATTTTAATACAAAATTTATTACATGATTTTTTACGTTGAAAGTTTTTTTTAGTTTTACCCAGTAATCCAAATTTATAAGAATGAAATTACATAGTCTAAGAAAATGCGAAGTTTTGGTAAAAATATTTTTTTTTTAAATTCAGTGAAATAAATAAATAAAATCATTTTTTCGAAATTTCGGAGGAACGGTAAGAACTAGAAAAAAAAAGTTTAAATAAAAGTTGTGGAGCGTCAAATTTTACATAAAAATGGCTTCTACACTTTTTTTTGTTCAGATCAAAATTAACCGAGATAGGATGGCTAGAAGCTAGGGGATGAAAGTAGAAATTTAAAAAAAATATAAGTTGCAAAAAAATTCATATATTTAACATTTTTATTCAATTTGTTTGGAAAATTATAACTTTCAATTAAGATTTTTGTTAAATTCACCCCGAGAAGAGGTGAAAAATATAAATAGTTTTTTTTCCAAATTTCAAAGAAACGGTATAAGCAGGACTTTGAAAAACATGTTTTTATAAAAGCTGTCCCCCAGCTTCTAGCTACCTTATCTTGGTTAATTTTGATTTGAACAAAAAAAGTGTAGAGACCATTTTTATGTAAAATTGAACGCTCTATAACTTTTATTTGAACTTTTTTTTTCTAGTCCTTACCAATCACCCCTTCTCGAGGGTGAATTTAAAAAAAAATCAATCTTTCACAATCTGTATACATGGTCTCTCTGAAATAAGTATACGTATTTTAGATGGTTAAAAAAAGAATCCTTCTTTTGTAAAAAAATTGCCATGATCAAAAATTAATTACGTAGTAATTTACAACATGAAGTATGTAGTAAATTGAGTTACGTAGTATAAAACATTATATTTACTGAATTAAAATATAAAGAGAATTAAAAGACACAAAAACAATTAAACATGTAGTAAATTGATTAATGTAATAAATTATAAAATAACATATTTCAAACTTATCCATCCCTGGAATGGATCTAATTGCCGGAGTCTATTAAACGGTAAGTGCCATTTAACTAACGCTTATCATTGATTGATAGTGGTGTAACCTAAAGCGAACAAACCACTGCATTTAAAGCAGGGAAAAGCCCGATAATTCGTTTGGATTATTTTGGCGTGCGTCTGTGTGCACAGTAGCATATGATGTACTGTTGACAGTTGCGACAGTCCATCTGTCATGCCGCAACGCGCGGGACACGTTCAATAGGGAGGCAATGAATTTTCTAGTCCTGATTTTTGATAATTATTTTTGGCGCGATAAAACGATATGATACAGTAACATAATGGATTAAGTAGAAAATTAAATTATCCTTGATTGCTGGGTAAATATTAACGGAAAATATGGGTATAATAGTTTTGTAGTAACAGGTAGCATATGATCAAAAAAGGGTTTTTTATATTGATAAAATATGTGGTGGAGTTAAATAAATATTTGTTGAAAGGTCAAATCATTATATTCAACTTTCGTTGATTTTATTTCCTGATGATTAAACAATTACAAAGTTTTGTAGTCTCTCTATAAACTTGACTAAATGAAATTTTGGCAAAAATGTTTAAATTTGTTATATAATTTAAGATACCAAGCAGCTTTTCAATTGACTTTATAGAGCAAATGATTGTATAACAGATATTTTATTTAGATTAAAGCTGCAAAAATTAATTTAAACCGAATTTTATTATGGCTCTGTTGGTCACATTGCGCCGTTTTCAGCAAGATTGTAGTTTATTATTTGACAATTATCCTAAAGTCAGTCATTATTTAGTATAATATCGTGTTGTTGTTGAATCTTCGTGAGTAATTCTCGTTCTTTTGCCTATTTTCATAGTCTTTTTTAAAAAATTGTACTTTAAAAGCACAAACAGTTCTTTTAAGAACGAAATTTTTGAGTTTTTGGATTGCATTTCTTGAAATTGTGTGTTAAAAATATGCCTAAGCATTTAAACAGTCGAGGCAAAGAGCTTGTAGCTTCCCTGATAAACTATTTTGAACGAGAACGTGACAATAAGGTCAAAATTCTGTGTAGATGACATCTATAATCTATAATACCTGGATATTTTGTCATATCCACTCTATTCTTTTAGGGTCCTTCTTAGTCTTATCATATAGATATATTAATGACTAAATTTAGTTATAAAACATTACACAAAAAATTATAATTAGAATTTTACTTGGCTTTTTTTTAAAATTAGAACAATAGTTGGAATTTTAACCAGTAATTTTTCGTTAATTTATTTTAAAATGTGACACAATCTTTGTATATATCACTTTTCAAACAAATCTATCTCGCTAATCCTGTCAAAATTAACAATTTATTTTTCAGATTATGTCGTGGAGACATTCCTTTTCCGTTGTAATTGTATTAATTACAAGATTTCTAGTTTAGATAAACCTCTCGTGGTTGTTGGTGTATATTTGTACACGGATAAAAATATTCGTTTGATATAATTAATTGTGTATATTCATTTTACACATTTTCTTTTAATCAAAGTATTTTAGTGAAACAAAAATAAATTAATTATAAATATATAAACATACTTACATCAACAAAACTTACCTCCTTAACAGCACTTAAAGGACATTTTTACGGCTATTAAGCTATCTTGTACACTTCGCAATACAAAACTAAAGTGTCAAAACGAATGACAATGTCAGGAAATAAATAAATAAATGTGACAACATGACATTTTTTCCAGCAGAGCTACCACCTGAATCCCCAGCGGGAAATTTAAATTCCAGTTAGTCTGTCCGGCGCCGAATATGTTCATGGTTGGCAACAATGTGTCGTTTATACATAATTTTATAAATGTTACATTATGAAAATTTTTGAAGGCATATAAATATTTTTTCTGTGTACCCACACACAAATATATAAATACATATTAGGTATTTGTATAAAGGTACTTTGTGTGTACTTATTTCTTATCGCCTTTCATTCAATTTGAAGGATTATCGTTTTTTGATTGATTCGATATTTGAGAAATTGATCTAATCTTTTAAACGTACATTAATAATTTTTTAAGTAAAGTTATCCTTCAATCACACATATCTGTTCTGATTTTTTTGTCATGGAAAATACAAGAATTTCTCCGATATAAACGACAAAATTTACTGTTATTGAACGGCTAATTAAATTAAACAATTTTTAATTACACTCGAGAAAAAATGAACAGGGGTACTCGAGGCAAATTGCCACGGTACCCGGGTCGTACTTTTTCTCCATACCGTCAACGTACCACTCGGATCCTCTTTGCTTACCATTAAGGCTCGTTATGAAAGTATTTAGTTACTAATTATGTCCATTTCGTGGACAGCGGCACGGTACCGCCAAGACAAACAGTACTACCCGCAGCCCAGAACCATTAATTTATTATTAGCATTGCCTTAATGAGCGCGACTCTTAGTCCAGTCATTTTAGTTGAAATTTGACGAAAGAATAAAAAAATACAGAGTCGAAAGCTCGTATTATCAATCAAGAATGTTTAATCTTAGGCTATATTCCGTTGCAAAACCAGGCGAACCAGACCGGTAAACTACGGTAAAGAGAGGTTCCTGAAAAACATCGGTTTGATACGGAACGGTTTGGTAAAGTACTGGAAACGTGAAATGTTGATGTTTTCTAAATTTCAATATCTCTATTATAAAATTTATCTTTTATGCATTTTTAATGTACCTATTCTCTGCTTTTACGTTTGCTTCTTCTTTTCAATGGAGTTTAATATTGAAAAGTACTTTATTAATAAACTGTTAAACTCGTTAGACAGCTCAAGTGAAGATTAGCATGTCCAATATTAAACCAGATCAATAATAAATAAACAAATCTAATCAATATTTATATTTTTATAGCTTACAAAACATTCACGATTACTTTTTGTCTTGTTTTTCATGTTTTCATTAAATGTTCCTGACTTTAAGAAACAATGGCTGCATGATAAGTTTAAATCGTCCTAAAAAGTAATTCTATTTAGTTAATGAAATTTATTTACCTTTACTGCATACCTCCATTGCTTTTGGATGTAAATACAAAATATTATTACAAATTTTAAAACTATGATATTATTCGTACATGACACACAAAAACCGTATTGTAAACTATTGCCAAATACATAAAATTATGATATCAAAATACTCTTTAGCAGTTTTTTTTTATTAATTTATAATCTTGTGACACCCTCTATAATTTATTTTAAAAAAATATATTTTATTTTGAAAATAATAAATAAGATAGATATTTTAATTTTAATTTTAACACTCGGTAATTGTAAATTCATATGTAGTAAGTATCTAAGACAATTTTTTAAACTCAGTGCCTTTTGATGGAGTTGTTTTGTTTTTATACTATCCGATTGAAATGAATCTTTTTGGGCATTCACCTGTTAAGCTTGAACTCCCTGTGACTGTGACTACCTGTGTTGGTAACTATTGGTAACTCAAAAGATCTACATCATTCAATATATCGATATTTGAAAAAAAAGTGAAAGTTTGATATCTGCAGAACAAAGGCACGAAGGATTTTAACAAATAATATACGTATAGTAGAAAAGTACATACCTTTGGCAATCTTCAACATAATTTGGCTTTCTAATAAAATGTATAAGCACTTGTAAATATTTTGTTTTCGTATGATCTCTGCCTTGCTGATCAGAAAACGACCAAATTTGGTTGATAAAAATGTATCGAAATACAAAGAATATTCATGCATTTTTGTATCAATTGGAA